ACCATTTTTTAATCATCTTCAGCAAAATTTTACTTACATGTGATATTAATAATATTGTTTGGTTGTTTCTGTTTACTGTTTGGCCACCTTTCTTTGGAATGAGCACACATATTCATCTCTTCCAATCGAAGACCAGGTAGCTATCTTCCAAATTTCCTGGCATAGACAAGAGCGCACCTCCAGCATTGCATCAGTTTGTTGAAACACACACACACACATGTACATATGTACGTACACACGTGAACCCTGGTATGATGCTATTGGATAATATAGATGCTAACTGCAAGATCGGCAGTTCAAACTCACCAGTCATTCTTGGAAACCCTATTCAGAGTCACTATGAGTCGGAACTGACTGGATAGCACACAATTGCAACAACAATACACACAACCACAGCAAATCCTAATGCAATTTCTCTTCTTTCATACCACCTCTGGTAGTGGTAGCTGACAAAGAATAGGAGACCGATGCGTACATGTGAGAAGTAGAGCTACATGTCTGTGTGCTTGGTGTTGTCCCACCACCTTTCAATTAGCAGCTAAGTTCTATGCCTGTTTGTGCCATCCAGGGACCCCAATACTTCAGTAAATAATGAACAAATCAGTGTGATAGGAACCTCTGCTCCTGGAAGTCTCTCCCTTGATTTCTGAAAATGCAGCCCCTTCCTGGGCCCAAGGGAAGTTCAGGCCAGTGAAATACTACTCGGGAATGCTAAACATACACAACATGTGAATTAATAGAAGTACATTTACTTCCTATGAAGCATAAATGTTATTATATAAATATAACCAAGGTATAGAAATCTAATTGGTATTGTTTGAATGAAATACAATATGGTCTCTCCAGATAGATCCAGGCTACTACAAGTCAGACAATCTGTGTGGACTTTCCCCTTGCCGCATATGTTTTAGGAATTGAGAAACAAAGTCAAATAGGGCAGGTAATTACCAAGTAACCATTTAACAGGGTGAGAAATGTAGGTTAATGGAGGACAGTAACATTGCTTAAACCAGACACCTGCACTTGGTTGTTGTTAAGTGCTGTTGAGTCAGTTCCGACCCATAGCAACCCTGATTAGGGTTTCTAAAGAACTGCTGGTTCAAGGTGCTGCTTGAACCGCTGACTTTTCTGTTCAAACTAACTTTGCAGTCCAGTACATTAACCCAGAGCACCACACCAGGACGCCTTGCATTTGGTAGACAGGAATATCCATCCACCCATTGTACCCATTTGTATAATTCAGTTCCAACCATCACACAGTAAGTAAACCAGTTTGGCTTTGTCATTACTTCTAATAGTTCTCTCTACTTCTGCTCATCACAACCTATGCTCACACCAACTTATGAGCTCCAGAGAATATGTCACTTCACCCATCCAGCCTGAATGACAGGGAGACAGGGTCTTTGATCCCATGAGTCATTTGACACAAAATATCAAGCTTTTCAACTGAAATTTTTGCTACTGAATAAAAAAAAAGTCCAAAGAATCAAAATGATGTAGCTTAGTGAGAACAGATAAAAGTGGCCTCAATATTCTCAGGACGAGGAGTTTGTTACCACATAAGGGAGCTCATTCCATTGTTAAACTCTTAGCTGTTGGAAGATGCTTACTTTTTGGCAACTTGTGGTGCTGTGGGTTAATGCGCCAAACTGCAAAGCCATTTGAACTGCAAGGTCGGCAGTTCAAGCTCACCAGCTGCTCCTCGGAAACCCTATACAGGGTCG